GAAAATAAAGTTTATTGAGCCACCACGTATTACTGGGTTGATTTAGGGTATTGATTATAATTTTTGAGGACACATTATGAGGCATTTCATGGTATACAGAGTGATTTATTGATTGAAAAAATTCCCAGCTACAAAAAAATTTTAAAAACCTCTGTTTTTTCATCACCCTCTAATTCTGGATTTTCACCGTTAGAGTCAGATTTTTTCTCATCAGTTTTCTAAGTATGAATACCTCAATGAGATGAAGAATTTTCAGCTCCTTGCTAGGTGTTTTCCATGTATTGTATATAATAATAAAAGTGATTAAATACCTACTGCTTCGAAACGAAAATATTACTTGTAGAAAATATTACTGTTACTGAGCTATTTCCTTTGGAGACTTGAAGGAATAACAAAATTCACAGTATACAGGGTGACCGCTACACATTAAGACAGGAATTAATATTTTTTTATAAAAGTTACAATATCTCGAGATCCGTGAGTTTTTAACAAAGGTCAAAATGTGGTTTTCTGATAGGTTATGAATCTGTTTATCACCGGCTAGTATGATCGATGGTTTATCGGACACCCTGTATAATACAACTAACTCGTTTCCACGCCACCCTAGAGGTATAGTTTCCAGCGCATTTTTTTAAGTGGTATCCTCATTAGGTCTATTCTACTGTACAAATAATGTCAAATGTTTGCATGAATACCTCAATAAGATGAAGAATTTTCAGCTCCTTGCTAGTTTTCCGTTTATCCAGTGAACAATATGAAAAATTAATTTCCATCTTTGATTATAAAAAAGTGATTACCCACTATTTATTCAGATACCTATATATTGCTTCGAAAAAACAGATTATTAGAAGACATCACGAAAATATTTCTTGTATTCCTAATGTAACTGCTTAAGTTTCAGTACGCCAATCTTTTTTTTTTTCAAGTCTTATTGTGATAACCCGATACCACGCCACCTCTGGTGGTATGTTAAAATCATCTCATGCTATTTCCAAATTACCTACAATGTGAAATTTGTGGAACTGATTTTGCAAGATCCATGATCTGAAAACGGCATGAATTCTTTTATCAGTCCGTTCTCAACCGAGGTCCATAGAAATATTTCCATTAGGTTTAGATGAAACCGCAAGTCTTCAATTTCCTCCAAGTTTGTGATCAATTTCCTTATAACCTGCATTCCAGAATATTCAGAGTGGGCTTAGAAAACAAAATATGATATCAATAACGTATCCGTCATCCAACAATTTTCAAGTTGTCATTATAAAGGTGCTTCATGTATCAGTTCTGGAACTTATATGTTGTATGTTGTTAACGTAGTTTTTAGTGTTCATTGACTTTAGTGTTCGAAATGGCCTTTGCGAATAGAGTAACTTGTTATGTTTGCGATCGAAATTTTATTCCTAGACATTTGGTTCGTATATATGGAGATGATAATGTTGATTTGCTGCAAATTGCAATATTCAGAAGGCAAGCTGCCGGAAATCCGCTCCTGCTCCTGCACCATCTTGATCATCGCGGTGCTTTGTTACATCATTTGCTTGGAGGATTGCATTTCGTTAATAAACCATATTTAATATCAAATCTTCACCAATTCATACAAGGAATGAGAACAATTGCTAATGGAAAAATACATGTTGAAAACTGGGAAGATATTGATAGTTTCACAGGAGAGGAATTCAAAAGTTTGACATCTATTTCTAGAGAAGATTTTCAAATCCTTTTCGAACTTCGTGATGTAGTTAAGCAGTATGGGAACATAAAAAAAGAAGAAAGATTTACTCACTGTCTTTATCAAAATGAAACATGAATTCAGATGACTTTTTGAAAATCTCATTAATGAGCTACCCTTCTAGACAAACAGCTAGCTTAATTATTTCAAATATAATGAGAATATCATTGTTGCAGAGATTTGTACCCAATAATATCGAAAAAATTCCGGGGACATTTTTTGTTTACAATGAAACAGGCTATCGGAAATAAATGTTCAAATGGTAAACAAATAATAAGAAAAAAAGTTACATTGGAAATAAAATCTAGGGGTTGCGTTTTTCACCCCTTACAACCATAGTGTAAACCAAATAAATTACTGGCTAAGTGACTTTTTGGTAGTTGAAAATGTCAGGTTAATTTCAATACAGTTACTTTTTTAGTGCTCGTGAAAAAAATTGTTAAACAAATTTTATGTACCCCCTTCAAGGGGCTGTATCTCAATATAGGATGCTCCAATGAAGTTTCTTTATATGAAAGATCCTATCTTTTTTTCGATGATGAATCACCCCCTCAAATGTTTCACACTTATTTAGTTACACTCTGTATAGACTGCACCTATAACAAGATTGAAAAGAGTAGTAACTTCAGGATACTGAGACAATCTTATTGCTTCCATAAAAATGAACATCTTGTTAGGCCAGAAATTATAGTAGATTCCGATAGGTACATATTAGTAATCAATGGGCCGTACTTCTTTGATGCAAGAAATAATGATGCAACCATTTTGCAGAACGAGCTTCAAAATGATTCAAATGGAATGAGGACGTGGTTTTTCAGGACACTACTGCACCTGCAAGTATATTGCCGCCGATGCAGATCGATTGCAACCTGAAAATATTGATATCGGTCCTGAAGTAATTTGGAACTGACGATAGTGTTACTTTGTACAAATTCTTCGTTTAATTTTTTCCAGAAATCAATCGATATAAACATTTGACATTATTTGTGCAGTGGACTAGACCTAATTGGGATACCACTTGAAAAAAAATGCGCTGGAAACTCAACCACTAGGGTGGCATGGAAACGAGTTAGTTGTATTATACAGGGTGTCCGATAAACCATCGATCATACTCTATCCGGTGATAAACAAATTCATAACCTATCAGAAAACCACATTTTTACCTCAGTAAAAACTCACAGATCTCAAGATATTGGAACTTTTATAAAAAAAATGAATTCCTGCCTTCATGTGCAGCTTGGAACATACAAATAGGAATTGTATATTTATTGTATAAAAGTTCAAGTTGTGGTGTTTTGGTAAGCTATAAACTTGTTTATCACCATCAGCTAGAGTATATATGATCCATGGTGTAGCGGACACCCTGTATACTGTATATTTCGTTATTCCTACAAGTCTCTAATGGAAATATTTCAGTAACAGTAATATCTTCTACAAGTAATATTTTCGTTTTGAAGCAGTAGGTATTTAATCTGAGTGGGTAATCATGCACTTTTATTATATTCAATATATGGAAAACTAGTCATAGCAAGGAGCTGAAAATCCTTCATTTCATCGAGGTATTATTACTTAGAATATTGATGAAAAAGAAATTTGACTTTAGCGGTTAAAATCTAGAATTAGAGGGTGATGATAAAAACAGTGGTTTCTTAATGTTTTCTTGTAATTGGCAATTTTTTCAATCAATAAATCACTCTACATACCATGTAATGTAATATATCCTCAAAAATTATAATCAATACCCTAAATCAACCCAATAGTACGAGAGGTGGCTCAATAAACTTTATTTTCTAAACATCAGCATTCACGAACACGAATCACCATGTATAATCAATACATATAATATGAATCCATTTTTTGTAAGAAGAACATATCGAATGGTGATTTGAATTTTTTCATTTTTATCAAGTTGTAGTATCGATATTTAGAAATTGAAAATAACACAATAATTCAGATGTGAATCACCCTGTAATGAAAGTCAGCTTTGGTTGATTCTGTACATATGGTTGTACTACCTGTAGGTTAAACTGAAAAACTACTAGCAGAAAATTGGGAAGATGAAAAAGGGGCATTTGTCAACTGCAACACCCTGTATCTCAAAAACTGGTCATAGGATCGGATTGGGATCCGGCATATTCGATCATTAGGTCGAGTACTATAATATACCAAAAATTCAGAAAATTCGACAGAACCCATTTAAATCTAGAAACTTCAATTGTTATCTGGTTTCCGCATTCCATATGTGACAACATAATAAATAATTCAGCGAATTTTACTGATTTCCCATTGGCAACACGGTTTTCCGTTATTTCAGTTATGAATTGCTGAATAAACTTCATGTACTAATATGAGAAAAAATCAAGATATAATCTAGAAAAATGGTCATACCTTATTATTATTGTCTCATTAACATAATTGCATTCAATAAAATTCTAAGATATCAAGTAGTTTTTATTATTTCCTTATTTTTTCAAATTTTGAGCTGTCAACGAGTTTGATCATTTGATAATCTTGTTTCCATTCACCTCTCAGAATGTTCACAAGCGAATAACTTGCTGAAACAATCAATGTTGCTGAAACAATCAATGTTTTTACTCGCCCCTTCTGGACCCACTAAGCAAATTTGAAAGCTATGGTGATGTAAAAGGTTGTAGCAATTTCTGTAACGGACGTTCAGCAATATTGCAAATGTAAATTTGTAAATGTAACGTTCCAGCAATGTCACAGCAACATGTGATATTGCTGCAACGCTACATTATCAAACTTCACCTTCGAAATATTGCTGAACGTTTGTTCAAGTTATTCACATTTTAATATTTTGAATAAAAAAATGGATTTTTTTAAAAATCTGTAACATGCCTTATATCTTCTAATAAACCGTGACACATATTTTCCATATTCTTCTCCATCAATAATGTGAAAATTAACTCAGAAACACAGTCTGAAAAGTCGAAAACTTTATATTTTTCGATAGAAAATTTTCTCAAAAAAAGTATCATTCGTGGAAAAGTGTGTTCTTCCATGGGTAGTTTTGGGGTTTTGGGAATTTCTACACGTTTTCGTAAGATCACTCGTAAAGAAGAATATCGCAAAGATTAGCTTGTCATATAAGTAGGTAACTGCATTAGTTTGAGGTTGACTTCTAGTTTTACTGACCTATAGGTGAATCCAAACGAAAATGCCGATATTAATATTAAAGATCTCATTAGTTTTTAATTACTTATTCATTACCTATATGTATGCGAAACAAAATAATTCATCAATTACTCACAAATTACTTAGGTACAATAATTTGGATTTTCCATACTTTTCCACTTCAATGTGCAAATGTTCAACGATAACACTGATGGCCATTGACCAACGATCATTTTACATCACCTAACGAGGAATCCAACCATTTCGGTAAGTGAAACCGACACAAACTAAGCAATGCCAATGCTAATGCTGATTGTTGACGGTCATTCGACAAAGGTGGGTTGTACCCACATGTAAAAGTGCGGTATCTACCTTTCTACGGCATCACCTGTTTAGTTATTTCCAGCAGGTTCAGGTACCACTCTACCAGTGGCGTAGGCAGGCCCGATCTTAGAGATCCACGGCCCCTATAGGCACTTGATAGATATTTGAGATTCCCATCCCGAAGCCAGTTTGAAAATTTAGCAAATAAAATAAACTAGTATAATATTTTTAATCAAATTTAATTAGGTACTATGAATGAACATTAAAAATAATTTAGTATTTGCTATGTAGGTGACTGTAGTTACATCAACGGTTATTATACCGATATAGGCGGCGTACACCGTAGATAATGAGAGCTCACAGAGCCCTCTTAAACTAACAGGTCGAGATGAAGAAACTTGATAACAGGGTACTCGATATGGAACATCTTAAAGAAACTTTTATATAGGATGTTTTTTGTTTGATGACAGTAATGGATGACACGGTATGAATTATTTCTGAAATCCTGAAAATGGCCGACCTATTTCCAGATATCAAGTAATAATCCGAATCCGAAAATATAAGGTCGGTGCGGTCCAATAACTAATATGGAAGATGATAATAACAGTTGTTTGAGGCTCATATTTGTTGGTGCTGGGCCGACGGCTGTTAGTAACTCTTAGCAACGTAGTTGTACCGCCATCTATCGGCTGGTATAGCAAATAAATTCAGCAATAAATATGCTGAAGAGATATATTTTGATTTTGTCGTTTATTACATGGTTCATGAAGTTAGGCAGGTACCTACTCTGGTAATCTTATTGAGGAATATTTAGTATAATTATTTCAATTTGTTATCGATGAAATTAGCCGGCTTTGGTATAGATATAAGTATATATTATGTACGAATACAGTTTTGATTTCCATTTTTTATCAACTTTTCAATGTTTCAAATGTCAATTGTTTGAACTGTTCAATCATGTCAATCATCATTAGCAGATATGGAACCATGATATTGTTTATAAAAAAAGATCAAATGGGATGTTTCTGGAACATCCAATGAAAACATCTGATGGATGTCCCAAGAGAAATATCTCTGGGATATCGTACCTAAGTCTGAAACATTGGGACATTTGTAGGACCTTAGCGGGATGTACCAGCAAGATCCCGTGTTGTTAGGGTAATCATCATTGAACTACACAGCGAACTTTCTTGTGTACAAAAGAACGGATGACGTTGTCATATAGTTTATAGACTCAGTGCTGCCATTTCGGTACTTTTGTACTGAATTCAGTACTTTTCTACTGAATTTGGTTTGGGTACTTTCAGTACGTCAGTACGACTATTTTTGAAACCCATGTTATTCAGTACCATTTTCGTCTTGAAGGCATTGCATATTATAGACAAGATAAAGACAACAGGACAGTGGATGATGGCAAGATTATGGCAACAATTTTTGACGAGCAGGCTCAGGAGCATGCTTTTGTGTGGGATGGCCTCAGCTATACTCATTGAAAAAGTATGCCTCACTTTTTCAAGCAGAGGGGTGTACGCAGTTCTCCAATGTGCAGAAGAAAATAACAGGATGGCCGTGAATAGGTAATGAGCAGATCCGCATTACGTCAGACAGTCAAGCGGTACTTAAGGCAATAAAAAGTCATGATGTGACATCTCGACTGGTATAGGATTACAAGAGGGAACTGAGAACTTTGGCAGACCGAAACTGTGTCAAGCTAATCTGAGTGCCAGGACATCAGGGGATCGCTTGCAAGGAGAATAGGACATACTCTTGGAGTACCAAAACGTACAGCACGAGTGTAGCTCAAAGACTGGATTCAGGCAAAACATAAGCGAACTACTAGAAAAACATCCCAAAAAACAGACATGGAAAACAATACGGAACCATTTGAGTGGGAACAATAAAGACTACTAGGTAATATACAATGGGCTACCAGGCCTTAGTGTCGTCGAAAACATCGGTCCGACGAACCTACAAGCGGGGTCGTGGAGTGTTTTTTAATGGGTATATCCTGGGACTCTTACACCATCATATGGAGGATTAGACCCATATGATGTCCATAAAGGATTTCAACCACCTCGACAAAAAAGTGTGATGGCGCGTTTCCATGCTGACTTTTCGCTTTTTCGTATTCTAAAAAAATTGTTCTAAAATTGTTCTATCCGTCATTCGGTTGCCCCCTTACGAGCAACCCTCAGAAGTCTTCGAGAGTCTTGTGCGAGCAAGGAATGACGGGGGCCTTACCTTTTAACGTGTGATCCCAAACACTTTCTTGGGCCATCAGAAAAATTTCTGCAGTCGACGGGACTCGAACCCACGACCGGCAAGCGAATGCGGATTAGAATATAGACACTCTGTCCGCACGGCTACCTGGCTCATTCCATTGGTCGATTTGCCAAGAAGCTCGCTGTCAATCCGACTTTTTTGTGAGAAAAACTCAGACTGTTCGACAGAAGCACATCAATATTCAGAAAATAAATATAAATCGATGCAATATCATATATGCTGTGTGGGGTACAGTGGTGGTAAAATCAAGTACTAGTACAAAAGTGTGAAAAATGTGCTTTCTAGAATATGTACACCTGAAATTCAACTGAATGTGGAAGTCACTGTCACTTTTTCATCAAGCTGGCACCATATATACCTATATATAAACTTGGTGAGTGCGATGAGATTTTATATATAGGTATGGAAAAACACGTCATATGACACAACCTTTTTTATTATTCCATGCAGAAATGATTTCACTCCTGTGGTCACCCAGAAAACAAAAGTATTCAATTCTCCAGTATTTTCTATGGATTTTATTTTTTGCCATCTTTCGGTAGGTACGTTTCAGTACCATTCCTATGAGAATTTTAGTACCTACGAAGCAAAAATTTCGGGCGGTAGCACTGTATAGACTTCATTATTTTTAAATATGTATGTGTATTATACATTATTGTGTACTTTTGACAAAAAATTTCTTCCGTAATTGAAGATTCCCATTTCGAAAATATTTTCAACAATACTAGTTGCATGATTTATAAAAGCGGGACGACTCGGAGACGAGTTTTTTTGAATAGAACACCCAGTATTTTTTATACGAAATTCATTCCGCTGAGGTTGAACTCGACATCGCTGTAAGAAAAATTGAATTTGGTTGCGGCGGTACCAAGTTATAATTGAGAAACCCATTTTTACTACTATTGAAGGGTCATGTTGAATTGGGTATGGTATATTCATTTATTGAAATTTCGAAAATATTTTTAGCATACAGTGGTTGCAAAGTCTCACGTAAACCAATCCAGTAATTTTGCCTGATGATTCTTTACAGGATGCTTAAATTTACATTCTGAATAATGTAAGAATCAGACGACGTTGATTAGAATTTTTCAAATAGAACACCCTGTATTTTTCATCACAGATTTATTTCGACATCATTCGCCTAATTATAAGGCATGGTTCCTTTATTGGATTGGGAATATTGCTTGCCACATGACATTAGAGGTTCTACATAGATCATTCAGGTATTTTTGCGATATTTGCATTGTCCAAATTTGAAATATTCCGTAATCTTGTTACTTATGATTTAAATAATATGTACCTATGTGAAACAAACAAACATGCCAGAAGCAACGCCTGCCTAAAATTTGGACCACTTTCATTGTCGTTATTCCCATATTCCAAATCTCCATTTAACTTGAAGGAGGCAAACTCTACATAATGATACAAATAATATTTCTCTACATGCATGGGTTTCAGGAGGGATTTCAGCAACATTTTAAATAAATTCATTACACAAATGATGGAAGTATATTCCGAAAAATATATTCATAGTCTGCAAAAAATCTGTGAAAGTAGCATTTTGGATCAATTTGTCCAAACCCACTTCGTTATAAATTCAAAATAGAAGAGCCTGTAAATGTTCCTATTGTAAAAAATATATGAATGATCAATGAAGAAATTTGATTATGCCGTAGCAACGCAATATTTCCACGATACAAATACATGAAAGAACTATGACGTACAAATAACCCCAAAATAGTAGTGAAAATAAGGACATTTTTCCATAACTTGACAACGCCGCAACCGATTTAGATTTTTTTCAGCGATTAAAACGCGAGATATGTCGAAATAAATTTGTGAATGAAAACACAAAGTGTTCCATTTGAAAAATCCTAATGAATGTCATCTGAATCTTGCAAAATTCTGAATGCAAAATTGAGCTCCATGTTGAAGAACATGTCACAAAATTACTGGATTGGTATACGTGAGACGTTGCTTCTACCGTAGGCCAAAAATATTTTCCAAATTTGAATAAATGAATGTACCATGCCCAATTCAACATGACTCTTCAATAGTGGTAAAAATGGGTTTATCAATTATAACTTGGCAACGCCGCAACCGATTCCATTTTTTTACAGCGATGTGAAGCTTAACCTCGGCGAAATAAATTCCGAATGAACAATACTGGGTGTTCTATTTAAAAAAACTCGTCTCCGAGTAGTCCTGCTTTTATGAAACACCCAGTAAGGTTGAAAATATTTTTGAAATATTCAACTTTAGTAACTGAAAGAGTTTTTCCTTCAAAGTTTTTCTCTATAGGTTATGGCTTCCGAGATATCGAAGAATTACGCACTAAATGGACACACTGTAGATATAGAGTGAATTTAGCCTCTTCTATGATAAATCTTGTAGGTAATTCTTACGTTTGGATAAATGCCCAGGAAGCCTTTTTCTAATAAGTAGTGTAGCATATAGTGTCTTCGGCTCAATGGCAACATTTTAGAATTATTTTCAGAGACATATATATTTCACTATACATATAGTATAAAATAAAGCTGGTATATGTAGGAGATATATGAGGAACATAATAAGCAACCAGAGATAAATAATTATATGACATGTTTTATCACAGTCACGATCGTTTTTCTGCAATAATAAAATATTATCATCAAGTAATTAATAT